TAAATTCAGACTAAACAACCATCTCACAATAGATTAAACAATTGAAATCAGGAATCATAATATTAATAATAGTTTGCCAAACCGACCTTAATACAAACATTTGAAATAAAATGATAGGGACAACATCCACTAGATATGTCTAATGTACTAAAGCTAGAAAAAAAAACGTACACATCCTCGAACTCAAGAGGACCTGCCAAAGTTCGAAGATCGCTTATTAAAACCGCTTCAACGAATATTCAATCTTCTCTCAGACCTGTGCCTATAAAAATAGTAATAATATATGGGTTAGTACACACTTATACAAAGTATGGTTGTATGCGGATACACATAAGGACTATGCATGATCAAACAAAGTTCTTCCAATAGCAATATGTCGTTTCTGGAAACTGAAGTCACTATACTTTCCTAATTCGTTATTTGTGATTCATGCTATTAATATGACATGTTTTCATGCATTTAAAGCACACAACTCATTTTCTATATGAATATAAGACCTTGGAATCATGAACATAATTTTAGAACAACTCAAACAAACCTTAATAATTTTCCCTTAGGCCTAGAGCTCACTTTTCCAACCTTAGTTTATTTTTCCGTCTTTTCTTCTTTCCGTTTTGTAGTTTAATGATCTCCTTTGATCCTATGTTTTACTTACAAGTGCAATGTTTCATTGTAGTCCCATACCTACAATGAACCAAGTAAGTAATCGTAAATACTAAGGAAATGATTTGGCTACCCTACTCACAAGTTATATTTCTCATTCTTGTTAAATTGGGCATGAATGTATTTATAAGCCAATCTTTATTGGCTATGCCCATTATTTGATCATTTGCATAATATAAAGATGCTGGGGCCTATATTCATACTCTAATTGATGAGTTATTAAGTTTTTGCTCTTATAAGCCAATATTTTTTGGCTATGCCCATTATTTGATCATTATGCTTACTTCGTTCACTTTGAACCTTTTTTTCTTCTACTTTGATCTCATTTTCACTTTGAACATAATATTCTTTCTTTCTTTCTTAATTTCTTAAAGAAATAGTTATCATTTAACTGACTTATATCATGTGAGTTAACATGAAATCCAGTGTCTTCTCCACACTAAAAAGAGGTGGTTCACTGACTAAAATTAACCCAGATCATGTAAGTTAACATGAATTTCAGTGTCTTCCCCACACTTAAAAGAGCTGGTTCACCGACTAAAGTGAAACCGAATCTGGAGCATTTAACCGACATATATCATGTGAGCTAAACAAGAAATCCAGTGTCTTCCCCAAAACTGAAAAGAGGTGGTTCAGCGGCCAAAGAGAAATCGAATACTACCTAGTATTCTTAGGTGGAATCACTAGCTAGTACCTATGCTCGCAACATAGTTAATATACTAGGAGATTTCAAAGACTCTTATCCACCTTGGTAGTAGTCTCATCTCATGAGGCTTACATGTGCTTGCACAAGCTCATTGCTAGTGTATTGGTGCTTTGCTCAATTTTTTATGCTTTACATCTTGTTGAGTTGACTCATGCATTATGGAAGCTTGCTTCTAGTATGAGGTATTCTTAGCTTAATGGATGACTTTTAATCTCTTTCTTTACTTGATGAATGTGAACTTAATTCTTACATTATCGTTATGGTGCGAATGAGACGTGTCTCACAATTTCTAGCACCCTCTTATGTGAGTATCTTTAACACAATTGTTTAAGTATAAGTGAGACTTGTCTTACTTCCTTTAACACTCTATATTAGGTTAATTTCATAACTCAAAGCTTTTAGTTATTTCATTGCTCATCATATCTTGTTCAACATTAATTGATAGTCTTGTATCATTCTTTATGGAATTTATAAGGACTAATTCAAAATACTATTATGTTGACAAGATTGTGTGGATAGGATATGTTGGTACTTGTCCCAATTTTTTACACACCCTATGTTATGAGTTCATTGAGTTAACATTGGTATGACTTTATATATCTTGCAAATAATATTGCTGGCCAATTTATTGGCATAAATCAAACTATGATATTATTATTAGCCAAGTCACTTATTTCATGAATACATTATAGTAATATCATCATGTAACAATCCAACTTTTAACCTTCGATTAGCCTATAAGAACAATTCAATGAACAACTTATAACAATTTCATCTTTTGAACACAAGTAGGCATTACAACATTCATTACCTCACGAAAATAATACCCTAATCATACAGATCTAACTTATAGGTTTGGTTCAACATTATAAATCATAGAACCTACAGATAATGATCAGTTAGCACCACATACCAACAACATGCTCGAGATTTACATTATACATACTACAAAAATATGAAATAGGGAGAACTAGGGAGATGAACATGCGATTCATTGGGAACAACCCTAGTTTCAGTATTATTGGATTCAAAACATTTGAAAAGCTTCTTGGAGAAAGGAATACAAGATAGAAAATCCATACATTACTGTAGAATTAATCTACAAAGATCACCTTGCGTTTTGCCCGAAAACGATGAAGGACTGCCTTGACATCGCCTAAGGTATTTCTTACGTTGTTCACTGTTTTTCAGTCGTAGGTTTTCTAATGATTAAACATGAGTCTAAGTCTTAGGAACTTAATATAAATAATTCAACTTAGACTAATTAATTTAATTTAATTAATCAATTACCTAATAACCAAAACTCCCCTCCTAAATTGACTAAAAATAGGAGAACATTTGACTTAGCCAAATTTTGAAAATTTCCTTAACGACATTGTTTTGACCATTTAAAATAATTAATTAAGTTGATATTTTAATTAATTAAGTGACCTCTGGTGATAACTAAAGTACCCCTAAGTCAATAGGACCATAACCAACCCTTTTGGACGATCCTATGTTAGGTGCTAGGATGTTTCTTTTGTTAGTTACTCGGCTAGTTTCACTCGGTTAGGTCTTAGTTTGTCGGGTGCACTAGTTAGTTAATTTTAGTTAGTCCTGGATTAGTTAGATATTTAGGTAAGTTAGTTAGATCCTAGAGTTTATTAGGAAGCTACGCCCCACGTGGCTTAAGACGTTCCTGCGCCTGCCCCCTAACCGCCTTAACCAAATTCGGTTGGTCTTGGTTTCTTGTCTGTTGGCCGGTTAGCGCATGTGCTTGCACATATGTTGCTGCTCATTTATTGTCCTAGGACCCTCACTATGTCCTTGGGAACTTCTTAATCTACATGATCATTTTAAATGATCATGTGCTATGGTACCTAGTCTTGACACTTGGTTGCCTCGTACCTAATGTGCTAAGAATAACTGATATTAGCTTAGGGTCTTTATTACAGGTACAATTCTAAAAAAGCTTGGATTGGGGTATTTGAACCAAAACATATTTTAAATTACTTGTTAATACGTAGAATTGGCTAACACCCTCAAGCCAATATTCTCTAACATGCCCAATATTACTCAATATTGGACATTGGGATGCCTATGTACCCCAATACATATTCTTAAAACCTAATAGGATCTGTAAAAGGTTGGGTCCAACCATGTAGGGCACTCGAATACAAAGATTTACTGGAAGGACTCTTTACTGGACATAAAAGGGAAAATCTTAGATTTGGAGGGTTTAGCGGTAAAATGGTCTTTTTCCAGGATAAGGATATTACCGTAATAACCCTAAATATACAATTAATTATTTAATCAATAAGGTAGAGGGGTATTTTGGGGAGAGAGGGACGAAAATTGGCTCTTGAAGTGAAGTCTTGCTCCACCCTGGTTCGAACCTAGGTGGAAGCAATGAATTAAATTATTTTTAATTTAAGTTGGTAATTTAATGTAATTAATTTATATTTATTATTTATTATCTATGTTAAAACAAAAGGAAATCAGATTTTTAATAATTAAATAAAAACCTTAATTGACTAAGTCCTAAACAAGACTCCTAATCCTAAGAAAAGTCTTCTCTCCCATGCTCATCTCTCCCTCTCACGTCTCTATCACTCTCACTCAAGATTCTCTCTGCCAAATAAATTCAATAAACTGTAGGTAAACAAAGGTTTTTCACACTTGAAGAATTCACAACGAAAATTTAAGAAAACAAACAAAATGAATCACGTAGGCAAGAAGAAGTTTGTCCGTAGAGTTGGTGTTGACTTTAAGGAGATTTGGATGTGATATTGGGTGATGTTTTCGGGAAGAAAGTGGAGGGTTTGATGTCAAAAAGGTATGTGTTCTATTATATATTGGTCCCTTTACAAATAGACCCCTAAGGTTCAAATGATTCCATTCCGAAAACTAGGGTTGTTCACGGTTGCATGTCCCTGTCACTAGCTCCCATTGAATCATAGGTTGGTTATGTTTGCTTGTAGAAAAGGGGGGGATGAAACATGTTTTCGTGTTGATTATGTGATTATATGTATGTTCGGAATTATCTGACTTATGTTCATGTTTTTCCGAAGTTATGTGTACGTGTTTGTGCAATGTGAACCTTATCTATGTGCCTAGGGTTCAGGCTTTAAAAATGTGATGTTGTGCTTTTGTTCAAACAGTGTATTGGTTCAATTTTGGCAAGTACACATTTAGTTCTATATTAAACTATTTCTTTCATTTGATTATCTTAATGTTAGATGGTTGATGGTGAACAATTATGAATCTAATAGAATGATAAGTATGTATATTAAGAAACAAAAAGTTTCAAATTTTCTGCAAAAATTAACCTAGACGAAGTATGAATGACGTAAGTAGGCTTGTCTACGACTTCTGAGAGATTAACGATGCTGGTCTCGTCTGGGGTCTAGACCCCGGTCGTGAAAAAGTTGGTATCATAGCACTATGTTAAATTCCAAGGATAGTAAGTTCACATCAACCACATTGAGTAGTTTCTAAGTCATGGTAGTGAAGTGCACCACTATTTTGGATTATAGACTGCATGATGCATAGGAAAAATTTACCCTCTTCTTATCCAACCGTGCCTTTCCTAATGTCTGATTTTCTTAGTGTTATAAGTGTGTCTAATATCAACCCTTGTTGTTTTCAGAGAATGAACACTAGGAGAGCAATTGGTAAGATGAGAGAAGGAGCAGTTGCTGGGGACAATCAAGTTCCACCCCAGGCTCCAGTTGAAGGAGTAGCCATGCTTGTTAACCCTACTGGGTTGACTGACGCTGAGGTGAGGGCATCTCTTTCCCAGATGGAACAGGCCATCACTATGCAGGCTCAGGCCATAACTGACCAAGTCAACCGGCAAAATGTTCAAAGGGAGAACCCACCGATTCGTACCATGGATGACATACTGAGTGACTTCACGAGGATGAATCCTCCTATTTTCACAATGTCTAAGACTTCAGAGGACCCCCAGGAGTTGGTGGACAGAGTGCATAAGATCTTGGTGGCTATGGGGGCCAGCAATACTGAGAAAGAAGAGTTCAATTCCTATCAACCCAAGGATGTTGCACAGAGTTGGTTCAAGATGTGGAAGTATAGTCGAGCTTTGGGCGTAGTTCTGATCACTTGGGAGCTTTTTAATACAGCCTTCCTGGAGAGATTCTTCCCCAGGGAGATGAGGGAGGCCAAGGTTGAGGAGTTTATCAACCTTAAACAGGGATCGATGACAGTCAATGAGTATTCCATGAAGTTTTTGAAATTATTGAGTTATGCCACTTCTCTTGTGTCTAACAGCAGAGACGAGATGTTTAGATTCTTGACAGGGATTGCTGAGGATCTTGAGGAGGAGTGTAGGGCAGCTATGATGCATGAAAGTATGGACCTTTTGAAACTTATGGTCCATGTCCAGCAAGTGGAGGAAAGAAGAAAACACACTAGGCCACGAAACAGGTCAAGGAATTTTGCAATGAAGAGTAGTACTAAAATCAGGGATAAACCCAGGTTTAAGAAGGGACTCTCCCACAAAGGGGAGTAACGTTCATCCAAGGGTCGTTATGATAAGAATTCTGACCCTAGAGTTAAGAGAAACAATTAAGTAGATACACCTCAGGAGAGACAACCTTGCAGGAAGTCTGGCAAACTACATGGAGGAGAGTGTATGATGGGCACCAACGCTTGTTACAGTTGTGACAAACTGGTTCATATGTTGAATCATTGTCCAAATAGGATAAGTCACGAACAGGGAAAGAGTGAGTTCAACCTAATGGTCCAAGTGAAGAGGATCAAAGGAGGCAACAATTCTTCGCAGTCAAGTCTAGGGGTGTAGGGGAAGGCACCTCTGGTAAAGCCTCGAATGCGTAGCCTTAATTATTCTTTCATGTATTTGACTGTGTATGGTGTTTATGCACTAATATGAGGTTAATATGTTTGAGTCATCATGTTGGTTGCTGATTTGTATGACTTACATGTTTATTTATGTTGTATGCTTTGATGAGACTAGTTTAGGAAAGAGTTCCTTAGTCCAATAATGTGAAGCTACAGGTTGGTTTCAAGGATGTACACTGTTATGTTAGTATTCACCAGTAGGGAGTATGAAATTACCTATGTAGGAATACATTCTATAGATGACTTACTTATTGTTAGTAAGGAGTAGTGTCATCGGGGATGAATGTTCCTAAGGTGGGGATAATGTAACAACCCTAAAAATGAATATCCGAAGTAATGCTTAATGTGTCTAGAATGCCTACAATTAGACCGGGTTCACACGGATTGATGGGCATAGAACTAGACTTCTGAACCCTTGCTACAGACAAGCCAACTAACTTGGCAGTTAGCGGATCTATAAAAGGTTGGGTCCAACCATGTAGAGCTCTCAAATATGAAGATTTACTTGAAGGAGTCTTTAACACACTTAAAAAAGGAAAATTTTAGGTTTGGAGGATCTAAGGATAAAATGGTCTTTTTCCAGTCTAAGGTTAGTATCCTAATTACCCTAAGTATATAATTAATTATTCAATTAATAAGGTGGAGAGGAATTTTGGGGAGAGAGGGCCGAAAATTGGCTATAGAAGTGAAGTCTTGCTCCACCTGGGTTCGAACCTAGATAGAAGCAATGAATTAAATTATTTTTACTTTAAGTTGGTAAATTAATGTAATTAATTTATATTTAATATTTATTATCTAAGTTAAAATAAAAGGAAATCAGATTTTTAATAATGAAATAAAAACCCTAATTGACTAAGTTCTAAAAAAGACTCCTAATCCTAAGCAAAATATTCTCTCCCACGCTCATCTCTATCTCACGTCTCTATCACTCTCATTCACGATTCTCTCTGCCAAATAGCTTCAAAACACATTAGTTAAACCAATGTTTCTCACACTTGAAGAACTCATAACGAAAATATAAGAAAACAAATAAAATCAATCACGTAGGCAAAGAGAAGTTTGTTCATCGAGTTGGTATTGACTTTTAGGGGATTTGGACGTGATCTTGGGTGAATTTTTTGGCATAAATTCAAGGTTTTAATGTCAAAAAGGTATGGGTTCTATTCTCTCTTGGTCCCTTTACAAGTACACCCCTAAGGTTCAGATGAATCTATTCCGAAAACTAGGGTTGTTCCCCGTTGCATGTCCCTATCAATAGCTACCATTGAATCATAGGTTGGTTATGTTTGCTGGCAGAAAACTACAGATGAAACGTTTTTTTGTGATGATTATGTGTTTATATGTATGTGCAGAATTATCTGACTTATTTTCATGTTTTTCCGAAATTATGTGTACGTTTGTGTGCAATGTGAACCTTAACTATGTGCCTCGGGTTAAGGATCTAAAAATGTGTTGTTGTTGTTGTATTTCATGTACAAATGATTATGTAATTCATGATGTTCATATGAGATAAAATGTGGCTGATTTGAGTGATAATCCATTGGTAAGCGAATCCATTATAAATGCACTTAAGAACGTATTAAATGATCTACGAATTACCCTATGAAATAACGTATAAATGTTGAAGAAAGTAGGCTGCAAATATGATGGTTTAATTTTTGCTAATGTTGAAGTTTAGAGGAGTTCAACAATAATGTTTAAAATATGTGAGGTCAGTTGGGATCGAACCCAAGACCTCACTATAAGAAAACTATGAATGAAAGAAAAAGGAATGTGAGGTGTGAGAATCGAACCCACGACCTCTACAGTGAAGGAGGGTTAAGAAAATGAAAGAAAAGAGATGTGAGGCGTGGAAATCAAACCCATGACTTCCTAGGATGATTCAAGGAGAAAATTAAAAGAAAACAAAGAGGGGCTGTGAGGGTTCGAACTCACAATCCCTCGGCCAAAAGATAAAAAATAAAAGTAATGAAAATAAAAAGTAAATGAGGTTGTGGGGGTTCGATACCACATCCTCTATGTTCTATTACGCGACAAATGAAGGGAGAAATTAAGGTAAAAATAAAACGAAGGCATTGGGGATTGGACTTGGGTCCCCAAGCCGTATGGATGAAATAATGTAAATGAAAAAAATGTTAGTGCTGTCCCAGGGATTTGAAACCGGGTTCACTTGCCCAAAATCAGTATTGATTCATAAGTCATACGTGAATTAAATATTCAAGAATAATGCTTCCTACATAGATCGAAATTGAGATCTTGGCATACCTACAAGATGAATAAGTGTCGTACCACATAATGTCAGGAAGATATGAATCACTTAAACGAACTATGAATTAAGCCTCATAACTTGTATGTACCCATAAGTCTAGCAAAGGTCTAAAAATAAGTGAACCTAAGATGTACGCAATGAAATGATGAAACACTAGAAGGGTTAAGTAAGAGTGTGAAACACAATAAATGACTAAGTGCATTGTTATATGATGAAATTAACAATGAAATGATGAAATGAACAATAAAATGATGAAATGAACAAAGAAATGATGAAATGAACAATGAAATGATGAAACCATAGAAGGGTTAAGTAAGAGTGTGAAACACCCTAAATGGAAAAGTGAATTGGTATATGATGAAATGAACAATGAAATGATGAAATGAACAAAGAAATGATAAAATGAACAATGAAATGATGGAACCCTAGAAGGGCTAAGTAAGAATGTGAAACACACTTAATGGCCAAGTGCATAGGCATATGATGAAATGAACATTCACCTAAAATGGGGTGAGTGATTATGAATAAAAAATGTGCTAAAGTTAATGAATTTGGTGAGAACATGATATGAGGCTAATGTAAAAGATGAGAGCAATGTCAAATGAGCTTAAGTAAATGTTAACAAAGTACTCACCTATGAGAGTGTAATGTTAATGAAAAGACCAGTCTCTATCAACACTATAATGAAAGTATTAGATTAACAAACTTAATACTAATGATGAGATGAGAAATCATCTATTGAGATATGATATCCTAATACTAGAAGCCAACTTCCATGACGTATGAGTTGAATGTAATGGAACTTTATGTTGCGCACCGATAGACTCGCTATGAGAGGTGATGCCTTCTTTCGGGAAGAGCAGAGGTTCACGTAACTCTCATGAGATGATAGTGTCCGACATGCCGGGTATAGGTCTCCTCATATTTCCTAGTCTTTAAACCTATACTGCCAATATAAGGATCTGGCGGGGTTCAATACCCATGTATGCTGGCATGTTTTGGGTCACTTTTGCCGGTAGTTCCACCTCTTTTTGGTGTGGGGGAGACACACGATTTCATGATGCTCATATGATCTATGTCGGTTAAAGTTAAAGTTCCCAATGAATGAATGAGGCCAGTCTCAAATGATGCACATAATTAAATGAATGATACAAAAGGTGTTAGGATAGGATGATCAGGAGGTGAGCTAGACTTATGTGATGACACTAGGTCATTCTTGATCATTTCACAACGAACCCGATGAAAGTCTTAGACTACATCCAAGGTACAGCTGGTGTTTACACTAGCCTATGAAAAAAATGAAATAAAGTACATATGAATGAATCCAGTAGACTCTGTGTTTACTAAAGAAGGCTCTGTAGTTAAGGTCCCTTATTGTGAGCCCTCATTTTGGAAGGTCTTGATGTCAAGTCCATGATTCCAATGTCTCATGAAATTTGAACGAATAATATGAAAAATGTTATGTGCTATATGTAATATGTTATGTGCTATGTGTAAGATGTTATGTGGTGTGTGCTATATGATAAGTATGATGATGAATGTTACTCTCATGGCATGACTTTCCTTATCCAAATTTGTAAAGCTCGCTCACTTTCCTAATCTAAATATGGAAATCTCACTAACTTTCATAATCCCAATCTGGCAAGTCCACTGACTTGACTTTCGATAATCATGTTTTTAGGAAAGATCTATGCTTACTTATGCATATACTTGGTGTGTGCTTGCATATACCAATACTTAGTACAAGTGTGTACTAACCCTATACAACTCTACAATTTTAGGTGCAGGCACAAATTGATGCTAGAGCTATAGGTTGACAGTGAAACTATCCGGACATAGAGCATTCATCCAGACTTTGTAGGCCCTCATGTTTTGGAGGATGCTTTCCCGTTATATTCTAGCTTATTTATAGGATTGAGCTAGTGGAGTATGTTCCACTAGCATTTCTTTCGGCTTTTGTTCAGACATTGTATTGGTGCCATTTTGGCAAGTTTACATTTCATGCTATTTAAACTATATCCTTCATTTGATGATCTTAATGTTAGATGGTTGATGTTGAACAATTATGAATGTAATAAAATGATTAGTATGTATGTTAAGAAACAAAAAATTTAAAATTTTCCGCTAAAATTAACCTAGACAAAGTATGAATGACATAAGTAGGCATGTCTACGACCTTAGAGAGGTCAACGACGCCGGTCTGCTCTGGGGTCTAGACTTCGGTCGTGACACTATTGGAGTACTAACTAGAAAAGATTCATGTAATATCTAAAGAAGCTAGTCAAATTTACTAGTTACTAAATAAGTAACAAAAGACAAGGTGGATCCTGGATCTATCAATGTATACAACTAAAAAGAAAAGACATGCAAGTTACCAGTGA